TTTGCATGCTAGGATGTCAAAAACGGATCTCTTACAAAATATTAAGAAAGAACGACACATGCTTTGAGATACTGAACCATTTGCCTGTGGGCTAGAAACGAAAAGTAATTCGTTATCAGTCAACAGTGACTTTCCATCTATGAGTCGCTGCTGAAACGAAACGTATTCGAGCTATTTTTGAAGAGATTGACGCTAAAGATGACCCACATGCGATGATATTGTGCGAAAAATTGCGTTGTCCAAAGAAGAAATGATTTTCCTTTAACGGAACTGAACGAGAATCGAGCATCATGAGCTACTTGGAACCTGGTGGGACGATTGATTACACTTTGTACTATCAATAACTAACGCAATTAAAGCGTCCGCTTTCTCTTCCCAACGACAACGCTGCTTAAAGCTCCCGTTTTTCAAAGGAAATGCAATTAAAGCATCCACTTTCTACTGGCTACAGCAAAGGGGGCTCAAGCCTCCAATTTTTACAGCAACCGTGATTAAAGCGACCATTTTCCATAGCCAGCAAAAAAAGCGGATAAAGTGCCCCCTCTTTATTGTTAACAAGGAACGCAGTTACAGCGCGCACTTTCTAGAAGAAACGCGATTAAATCTCTACTATCTTCCACAGTGACGAGGTTGAAGCGTTTCTTCTACCACAACAGTTCTCGGCCATGTAAGCATATAACACATTGACTGCCACGTCACACGATTTCAAGTGACAGTAAAGATCTCTTACATCAGGCCGCGTCATCCGAATTCGAATAACTGTTAGATACTTTTTAGCTATTAAGAAAAGATACGTTCAACTAAATGCATTAGGTGAAACATTTCGTTGCAAACGAGCTTATCTTTTGCTACGATAAGAAACAAAATAAGTACAAAAGTATATAACCTGCGGTGGTACTTAAACATTTCTCTCCACACATAATAGTCTTTTACTGCGATAAGTAACTATTGACACAATATCTTTATGCAGGAACATTGCGGAGTAGCGGGGTATGGCAATGCACGAGGCCCGAGAGACAGAGATTTTCTTGATAACATGGTGGGCAGTCAACATGTTAATAAGTCGGCTGGTTGAGAAGTTTTCATACATCCACCAGATAGTCGACCATAACCTTGTCCTATCCAACCACCAAGATTTGCTTCGTCGTTCCGCAGACCCCTTGGAAGCTGATGTCAAAAGATAACAATGATATCTCAGAAGCCACGTAATGGCTTTTTCAGGAAGAATGTCAAAAGGTTATCAATCAAGATGACATACATTTGGTTTAGTGAACTAAATTCAAAATATAAGAATTGCTACAAACTTTTTCTTCGTCGGTTATATAAGAGAATGTATTCAATTGCGAATGACGACATATATCGCTAATGTAATATATATCTACATAAGTATGTATGTACTCTTTATATGCATATATATGTGTCACATCCATAAGCCTATGACAATAAACTCAATAGATTATAACTATTGGACAAGCGGGAGAGGAAACTCATAGGCTCACGCGATCATTATGATAGCTTATATAGTTAGTTGGACTTCAATATTGCTTGCACTCTGCA